GGACATTAGAGTGCTTCTCCTGAGGAACTAGAGCTGGTTACAGGACACCAAAAAAATATTGCAGCTTGTTCATTTCAGCAAGCATCACCTACTGACAGGAAGGTCAATTTGTACATTTACAGCATTTACTGACTCATTATACAGGGTGTGATTGATTCTCACCCACAAGCACCACCTACTGGGCCAGGGATTAAACTGGGCATGTCATTATCTAAACAAAGGAAAATCCAAAAGTATGAAGCAACAGCTGCTCCAAATGAGAAGGAATCAGTGAAAGAACAATGGAAGTATGAAGAATCAAAGCAAAAGGACACCTCAGAAAGGGAACACCAGCTCTCTAGCAATGGATACCAACAAAATCAGAATATTAAATGATAAATGTGGCCAGGCGTGGTGGCTCGCGCCTACAATCCTAGCACTCTGGGAGGCCGAGGCAGGCAGATTGCTTGAGGTCAGGAGTTCGAAACCAGCCTGAGCAAGAGCGACACCCTGTCTCTACTATAAATAGAAAGAAATTAATTGGCCAACTAATATATATAGAAAAAATTAGCCGGGCATGGATGGCTTGAGCCCAGGAGTTTGAGGTAGCTGTGAGCTAGGCTGACGCCACGGCACTCACTGTAGCCTGGGCAACAAAGCAAGACTCTGTCTCAAAAAAAAAAAAATGATAAATGAAAAATTTTGAACATGGATTGCAAGGAAGCTCAAAGAAATGCAAGATAGGCCGGGCGCTGTGGCTCACGCCTGTAATCCTAGCTCTTGGGAGGCCGAGGCGGGCGGATTGCTCGAGGTCAGGAGTTCGAAACCAGCCCTGACGCAAGAGCGAGACCCGCCTCTCTACTATAAATAGAAAGAAATTAATTGGCCAACTGCTATATATATAAAAAAATTAGCTGGCATGGTGCGCATGCCTGTAGTCCCAGCTACCCGGGAGGCTGAGGCAGAAGGATCACTCGAGCCCAGGAGTTTGAGGTTGCTGTGAGCTAGGCTGATGCCACGGCACTCACTCTAGCCTGGGCAACAAAGTGAGACTCTGTCTCAAAAAAAAAAAAAAAAAAAAAAAAAAAAAAAGAAATGCAAGATAAAATGGAAACCCAACAAAAAGAAACTGTAAAAACAATGCAGGAAATGAATAAAAAATTCACTAAAGAAATTGAATTATTAAAAAAAATCAAGCAGAGCTTCTGTAAATGAAAAATTCATTCAAGTAATTACAAAGCACAGTGGAAAGCCTTAAAAACAGGTTAAATCAGGCAAAAGAAAGACTCCCAGAGCCTGAAGACAACATCTTTGAATTAAACAAGTCAGTCAAAGAAATAGAGAAAGGAGGAATAAACAAAGCCTACAATAAATGTAGGATTTTGTAAAGAGGCCTAACATAAGAATCATAGACACCATGAGGGTAAAGAAGAAAATACATAAGGGTTGGAAAATCTATTTGAAAGAATAATTGAGGAAAATGTCCTCGGCCTTGATATTTAGAAATCTAAATATCCAATCACAAGAAGCCCAAAGGACTCCAGGGAGGTTTATTGCAAAGAGGAAAACACCACAACACATACTCATAAGACTGGCCAAAATAAACATGCAAGAGGTGCTCCTATGAGCTGTAAGGCAAAAGCAGCAGGTAACTTACAAAGGAAAGTCCATCAGACTAACTTCAGACTTCTCAACTGAAACCTTACAAGCCAGAAATGACTACAGCCCCATTCTCAGTCTTCTCAAACAGAATATTGGCTCGGCTAGAATTTTGTATCCTGCAGGAACACATATCTACATAGTCTTTGACTTAAAGACAGATGGCACCTAGGCAGGTCACAAGAAAACAGCTATCACTCAACAATGCAGGGCAATATGAGAAGTCCCCTGTGTGGGACATCCAACTTATGCTGTTGCCAAATGCCCTAAAGATTGTCAAGCAATTGTTCTCTCCTCTAGATGAATTTTGCAAATACAATCTTTGAATTCAGGACATGAGATATGGTGAAGTCTTGCAGATCTTCACAGAAGTTCTGGCATGACAATGCAAATTGTTCCAAATCTGTATGAGTGCTGATCTTTGTCTTCCCACTATTTCCTCTGGAGCAAAGTAGAGGCCCTACAAAAACTGTTCATCCTTTCATTCTATCAGAGACTGACTCTGTTCAAAACCCACAGCACAGTGACTAGATCCCCAAGAGTGAAGATAGCTTAAACAATGTAACCTTTAAGATCACAAAACCCACCAGTGTGTGTTTCTGTTGTTTGAGGGTGGGAGAGGAGTACACAATGTTGGTGACTTGTAGGCTGGAAAACTCCATCCCAAGGGTCATGAGATAACCAACAGCACCCCTGCAGAAGGGAAACTTCTGCAAGCTTCCAGCCAAAGCCAGCCTGTGTCTTCTGTCAAAGCAATGTTTATAACTAAATATAATAGATCTTAGGGGAGGAGATGATGCCTCCAGCATTTAAATGACCAGTTAATCCTCCACTAACCCTCACCCTCCAGATAAAGGGAGAGAACATGGTATGCTGCCATACTAGAACATATTAATGTGACTAAAGTATTACACACTGTGGCTCTCTGCCACTTGCTAGAGATGACTTTTGCAACAGACATTGGCAATGACATAACTCTGGCAAAGGCCCCAGGAAAGTTCAAAAGTGCGACATAGTTCACAAAATCTTCTCATATGTCTATGCAGAGAATGTCCCTAATATGGATGTTTGGATGAATGAAGTTTAATTGTTGGCTACCTACAAAGGTAATTTTCACAGCTTTGTTCCACTGAGTTATATTGAACAATGAAAGACCTCATTGCCTTCACTCCTGAAGTCTTTCTCCAAATGTGAACCTGATGGTACTGAATGGTTGTTACACTAATGGAAAAGACTTTCCAACATTCATTGCACTCATATTTCTTAGTTCTTTTGATCACAGGAAACAATCCAATGTCACTTGGATACATGAAAGGCAGAACTATTTATTAGCTACAGCTAGGAATGACAGAAAAACAGGCATAGCCCCATAGAGAGTTGCATCTGGCCAGTGAATTGGGTTAGCTGTTTCCCAAGTTCCCTGTGGATTAATATGAATAATTTTGGCTACTATACAGTGGCCTGGAGTGTGAGACCTCAATAAAGAGTTTGGGATCTGAACATAATCAGCTGCTCCAAAAGAAAGACTGATTTGCCTCTAGTCTGGACCTCAAAACTGAGTCAAGACAATCTTAAGTTTTTTTTTTAAAGTATACACCTAAAATGCTAAAATGTGAGGAAGTGACATAAACATATAGACAACATAAACAATAGATAGAGAGTCTAGAAATAATCCTGGCATATATGGTCAAATAATTTTGACCAGGGTACAAAGATCATTCAATAGCTGAAAGGGCAGTCTTTTCAACAAATGGTGCACGGAAAACTGGATATCCACATGCAAAAGCATAAAGTTAGACCCTTGTCTTACACTATATAAAAAATGGACTCAAATGGATCACTGACCTAAATATAAGACCTACAAATATAAAACTCTCAGAATAAAACATTGGGGAAATGTTTCATGACATTAGGTTTGACAATGATTTATTAGATAAAACATAAAAAACACAGGTGGCCATGCCTATAATCCTAAAACTTTGGGAGGCTGAGGCAGAAGGATCGCTTGAGGCCAGGAGTTCAAGACCAGCCTGAACAAGAGCAAGACTGTGCCTCTACAAAAAAGAGAAAAATTAGCCAGCAATGGTGGCACACAGCTGTAGTCCCAGCTACTTGGGAGGCTGGGGCATGAGGATTGTTTGAACCCAGGAGTTTGATACTGAAGTGAGCTATGGGGATGACACCACTGCACTCTAACCAGGTGACACAGCAAGACCCTGTCTGAAAATAAAAACACAGGTAACAGAGGTAAAAACAGATAAACTGGATGACAGTTGTTTTTTATATCTGTGGGGGACTGCTTCCAGGACCCCCTGGGGATACAAAAATCTGCTGATTATATAAAATTATAAAAAGATGTAGTAGTTGCATATAACCTACACGCATATTCCCATATGCTTTAAATCATCTCTAGACTATAACACCTAATGCAGTATAAATGATATGTAAATAGTTATTATACTGTATTGTTTAGGAAATTACAAGGGAAAAAAAAGTCTGCACATGTTCTACACAGATGCAAACATGCTTTTTTCTTGAGTATTTTTTTCTCTTAGGTATATAACCAAATTTCCCAAATAGCTTTCATCCATGGTTAGTTCAATCAACAGATATAGAACCCACAGAATAGAAGGTCATCTGTACATCAAAATTAAAAATTTTACCAAAGGACACAATCAACAAAGCAAAAACACAACCTATGGACTGGGAGATAATTTTTGAAAATAACATATTTGTAAAAGGGTTAACATCCAGCATATATAAATAATTCCTACAACTCAACAAAAAGCAAATAATCCCATTTAAAAAATTGTTTTTAAAGACTTGAATATTTCTCCAGATACACAAATGCCTATCAAGCACATGAAAAGATCAACATCATTTATTAGCAAAATATTACAAAAATGAAAAGCACAAGATTCCACCTCACACACAATAAGATAGCTGCTATCCAAAACAAAAACAAAACACTCCAAATATATAAAGGAAAAGAAAAAAAAAAAGACAAAACAAAAACAAAAGAATAAAAATCAGAATGAGAAAATGAACAATGCTGGTAAAGAAGTATATAGATTAGAATCCTTGTGCATAGTTGGTGAGAATGTAAAATGGTACAAGTATGATGGAAAACAGTTCCTTAAAAGATTAAAAATAGAAATACTAGTATATATGACCCAGCTTCTCCTCTTCTGGGTATATACCCAAAAATAATTGAAAGCAAGGTCTTCAATAGGTATCTATACACTCATCTTCACAGCAGCATTATTCCTGATAGTTAAAAGGCAGAAGAAATCCAAGTGTCCATTGACAGATGAATGGATAAAGAAATGTGGTATATACATATAATAGAAAATTATTTCACCTAAAAATGAAGGAAATTTTGATATGCGCTACAATGTGAATGAACCTTGAGGATATTATCCTAAGTAAAATAAGCCAATCTCAAAAAGGCAAATAGTGCATGAATCCACTTATATGAGGTACTAATCAATGTCAAATTCACAGATACACAGTGTAGTAACAAAGGGGGATGAGGAGTTGTCATTTGCTGGCTATAGAGTTTCACTTTTCCAAGACAAGTTCTTGATATAAGTTGTGTAAAAATGTTAATTTATACAGCATTACTGAAATATCTAATTAAAATCGTTACCGGCAAATTTTCTCCATTGTGAAATCTCTGATATTTAATGGGGCTGGAGCTGTACCTAAAGAACTCCCCACATTCATGGAGCACACAAACCTCTCTTCATTGTGGATTTTCTGGTGATGAACTAGGTGAGACTTTCTAATGAAGGCTTTCTGGCATTCACTGCACTCATAAGGTCTTTCTCCACTGTGAATTTTCTGGTGTTCATCAAGTATATGTTTGTGGCTAAAGGCTTTCCCACATTCTCTGCACTCATAAGGCCTTTCTCCAGTGTGATTTCTCCAATGTTTAATGAGGTTGGAGTTGTACCGAAAGAATTTCCCACATTCACTGCATTCATAAGGCCTTTCTCCAGTGTGAACTCTCTGATGCCTAATGAGTTTGCAGTGGTACCTAAAGGATTTCCCACATTCGCTGCACTTATAAGGCCTTTCTCCAGTGTGAATTCTCCAATGTTTAATGAGGCTGGAGTTATACCTAAAGAATTCCCCACATATGCTGCACTCATAAGGCCTTTCCCCACTGTGAATTCTCTGATGTCTAATGAGTGTGGAGATATACCTGAAGAATTTCCCACATTCACTGCATTCATAAGGCCTTTCTCCAGTGTGAACTCTTTGATGTCTAATGAGTGTGGAGCTGTCCATAAAGAATTTCCCACATTCTCTGCACTCATAAGGCCTTTCTCCAGTGTGAACTCTCTGATGTCTAACAAATGTAGAGCTGTACCTAAAGAATTTCCCACATATGTCACACTCATAAGGCCTTTCTCCAGTGTGCACTCTCTTATGTCTCATGAGTCTATAATTGTACATAAAAGATTTTCCACATTCTCTGCACTCATAAGTCCTTTCACCACTGTGAACTGTCTGATGTTTCATGAAGTTGGCACCATATCTAAAGAGTTTCCCACATTTGTTGCATTCATAAGGCCTTTCTCTTGTATGGATTTTCTGATGCTCAACAAGTGAATGATTGAAGTTGAAGGTTTTTCCACATTCATTGCATTTGTAATCATTTTGTCTAGTTTGAAAGAATTCCCTATTCTCTGTGTCCCTGAAAGGCTTCCACCCACTTTGAGGGGCCTGGTGCTGGAGAAGGCCAGAGGTGGCCGGCAAGTCCTTCCAACCCTCGCTGAATGTGAAAGTCCTCTCTGCCATGGGAACTCTGTGGTTCTTTTCAAATGAAGGTCTCCAATAATCCCCCCTTCTGGAAAGATACTCTCCAATCTTCTGCTTTTGGTGCTGAAAAGGTTCTGCCTCAGAAATATACATCTCTTGTTCAGGAAGCATTCCACTGTGCTCAACCAGGTACAAAATGTCTTTCAAGAGTGGGTCACATGTCTCACTGGGCTGGATCTTCTGGGTAGATATGCGGGGCACTGGAGTCATGACCTGTGACATTCCTATAGAAACACTTTGCTCTGAAGGTGCCTCCAAATCCTGGGCTCCCTGCCAACAACCTGAAAGCAGAGAAATGCTGCTAAAGTGCATGTTAACTGTGGTGGGAGAAGGCAGCCCCAACACAAATGTCAGACACGCCCACAAATAAGGCCACAGGATTGCTGACAGGCATGGACACTGAGGCCAGTGAAAGGAAGATGGGCTGTACAGAACTGGGCTTGGCAAGTGCCCACAATCGAGAAGCCCTGGAGAAGGGTGAGGGTGCAAGGGAAGGGTATAATGCAAGGAGAAGAGGTGGAGTTTCCAACTCCTTCTTCTGCAAATGACCATGGTGAGCAGTGTGTAGGTTGTGTCCAGACCAGAGAAAACTGGCAGTGGAGCTGGAGTTCAAGGAGTACTGAGAGATACATGTAGGCTTCATGACACCCAAAGTGCAAGTCATATGTTGGAGGACACTGTAAAGGGAGCAGTGGAAGAAAATGGGTGCAAGGTAGTGGCCACAGAAGTGGGGGCTATAGGGCAGGAGTGGGGGAATCCAGGGGCAGGAAATCATACTAGAAATGATAATGGGGAAGAAAAAGTGTAAATGAGTTGTAGGCAGGGGCCCCGCCATCAAATAGTGAGCAAAGGACAGGTACCCAGTGTGATTTGAACCCAACTCTGACATTAACACCTTTTCCCAACTCCCATGCAGCAATGCCATTACTAAGCCTTTATTGCCAATACTTTACACCAGTATCCAATACTTTACTCCCAATCCACCCTCTCAGATACCCAGAGCCCTCCCCATAGCCAAAGGTGACAATGTCTGGGACACAGAAGAGGCCAGTCCTAGGGAAAATACAGGGAAAGGGAGTGGACAGGACATACCCAAGAAATCCACCCCATGACATCCCACATGCTATAATAACAAGACCTTTACAGAAGAGTCCTGTAGAATCAACCCAGTGGTCCCCCAAATTAGGGACAAGGTCAGTTCCTGAAATTCCTGGCACATAAAAGTCACCAGAAATATCAGCAAGAGCAAGCGGACAAACTAGAACGTGGAGGTTGCATGCATTTGGACAGAGTAACCAGACCGGGGACACAAGGCTGGTGGGATCTGCATGACAACTTCAAGATTTCTGACTCTAAGCCCTTTCTTGTCAGCCCCAAACCAGCAGGGAAGGGGGCTGGTAGGAAAAGGGGTACAGAGTACACAGCCCAGTCCTGGCTGTGTACTGGCGCATGTCCACAGCACATGCGCCAGGAAACCAGGAAACAAAGCAGCAGCACCCATGGTCTCACCTCAGGAAAGGCAGAGCCGCACTTAGGTAAAAGAGGGAAGACACAGGCCCACCTGGGACACTTGGTGGGTGTGAGGGCCTTACCCAGCGAGGACAAAAGTGCCATGTTCTCCAGCATCACATCTCGGTACAGTGATCTCTGAGCCTCATCAAGGTGCCCCCACTCCTCCTGGGAGAAATATATGGCCACGTCCTCAAAGACCACACGGCCCTGCCAAAATTGAGACAGTTCAGTATATAAGTAGTTTCTTCAAACTATGTTTACTTAGATTTTAGATTTTCCATTCATCTATTTGTCACCCATTAAATACAAGGGCACGAAAACAGCCAAATTTGTTTCCACCTCCCCTGCCATCCGTAACCTATACTCTGAGCTACCTCTTTATCTAACTTTCTCAGACCAAGCCAATATTTCCTTCATCCTAAACAGGACAAGTACCACACAGCTAGTGACAGCTCCTGTGCCCCAGGTGTGCTGGGATTATTCAAACTAGCCAAGTTTAAGCTGGCCACTCTGTCCTGCCTTGTATTTCTCTCGGGAACCTTAACAGAAGCCATGGCCCAAGCTTTTCCCTCACTCCTGTCTTCTGCCTCCTGACCAAATCTGATGCTTCAGTGGCCATGTGGCCTTGTTTTAAGTGGTGTGGTTCTTCCTTGGGGATATATAAGAAATAAATATCTTCTTTCAATGTCATTGGCCTGCCCCTGTTGTCATTCTCACACCCATAAATTAAAACCCCATGGGCACAATCACTGCTCTACATCTCTCTCCAGGACCTCAGTACCTTTCCCCAACTTCCCCATGCAGAAGAGATACCAGGTCCTAGTGGCATGCGTACCTTTTCTCTCCACATTTCCAACCAGTTTCCCTGGGGTCCCTCAGATCTTGCCTCCCAGAAAACTAAACTGGATCATCTTCATTCCCTAAGCGCCAGTGCCCGGGCCTGGGGGCCATCCACTCACACTCCTCCTGCCTTCACATGACTCTTTGGATGGCATCTCTATCACATCTCTGGACTCTGTGCTACTGCATTTCGACAGACACCTTCCAGCCCACATCAAAGTTTCCTTCACTCCAAACAGGCTACTCAGCACATGGAAACCAGGTGTGCATAGCAAATACATCCAGCATCCAATTCAGCCACATCCTGCCCAGAACACCAAAGTCCCTCGTGTCAGCAGTCAAACCTGCTTGAAGGTCCCGCCTACTGGTTTCTCACTTCAGTCAGCACCCAAACCATGTGAGAATTCACAAGACACTCTTGTCATCTCTTGCCTTCTACATTACACATTATGTCCCATAAACAGTGAGGACAATTGTTCTCCATGGAAACTTCATTCAAAGCCACGACATGACCCACTACACCTACACCCTTGCCCACCCAGTCAAGGCTTTCCCCTCGCATCCCTATCATGTCTATCTCTCCTTCTCACTACTACATCCCACCATCTGGAGACATACTCATCCCATAAACATCAGCTCCTCATCTATCTTGACTCCTCACCACCATCCAGGTGCTTCCAGTAGAGAGACCTGGCTTCTCTGCCCCTCATTCCCATCCTTACTCAGAAAGGCACTGCCACCATAACCTAAAATGCCATCCTTATTTATACACAGCTTCATTCCAGTCCACACAACAGTCACCATGTTTTAGATGTCTACAAACTGAAGTGTCATTAAGAGTCTCTAGAATATTCATGACATTGACAAAAACTGACTCTCATTTTCTGAAGATTCCTTACATGTTGACTTCCAAATCTTTGCTGACAGAGCTCTATCCTTCTAAACGAAAAAACACAGGCCTTCCTGACTGCTCTTCATCCACCTCCTAGCTCCACCTCTTATGTCATAAAATGTAGACAGCTCTAGGTCAAAATTCATCCAAAGCCAATCACTCCTCTCACCTCCACAGCCACCACTCTTTGTCCTGCTACACCAACATCACCTGGACTGACTCAAGAACAACCCCAGGTTCCCAGCCTTTACCTTCACCTCCAGTCTGTCCGCCACTCTGCAATCAGCGGTGTCTCTTAAACCCGGACCATTATCACTGCCTTCTGCTTCAAATCTTCCCTATACTACCACCCTCAGATTGCAGGCCAGAACCTCAGGCTGTCATTCCACTCCTGATGTCTGTGTGCCTCTAGCCAACTCCCTCTTTGCTCCCCATTCCTATCAGATGTGAGACTTGCAGTTCCCTGAAAATCACAGCTCAGTTCATATCCAAGCACTGAACACGCTGAATCCTGCCCCAGACACCGTGGACATCTTATCACATCAATGTCAAAAATGGAACAGTCATATAACCAGGACCAAACTTAGGATACTAAGCCTGGTGATTAACAGTCTTCAGACACAAGAGAGGAGAACAGAATAGGGTCTATTACTAAGCCTTGTGGAATTAGAGTCTTCAAACATAAGAGAGGGAGAAGGACAGAATAGTTTCAGGATACCACTTTATTTATACTGGAGTGCCAATCCAACCAGGACATAATTAGGGTAGATGAGAAATAGGAATCCTCTACTCACCTGTGCGGTCCATTTCTGCCATCATGAGGATCCTGAGGAAACAGAGAGGGCATAGAAATAGGCAACCATGGGTAGGTTCTATAGGCTGAGATGGACTACCTCCTCTTTTGCTTTGCCCTGCAGCAAAATGATCTGAAATTGATTGCATAAATTCAGCTCCGGACTTCAGTGCTACCTAACAGCAGCTCTTTACCTGGAAAAGAACTAAACTCTCTGAGCTGTTTCCCCATCTGTAAACAGAGATAAGAAAATGGGCTCCATGTCATAGGGTTCAATTTGCATTAAACATTAGTGATACATTTATACATATCAGCTATTATTGTCTAAGAATTAATGGCTTTGTACATGTTTTCAGTGTAAATGAAATAATATAGTTTTTAAATTTGGAATATATTGTTTTTTAACTTTTAGGGATTACAGATACAGGCTGCTGTAAAAAAATAAATTAATTAAAAAATAAAATAAACTTTTAGGGAATGTGATGTTAAAATTTTCCATGGAAAGCAAACACTTAGAGGTAAAGTAACATCAAACCAATTATGAAATATTTTTAGAAATTTAACTTACTAAATAATTTTGCTACTAATTGCCTATCGATATGCACATAATTCAAAAGATACTGGTCAATTATGATTTAAATAATTAAACATTATTAAGTTAATAAGTTATACAGATGGGCTGGCAGGGAGGTGACCTACTGGTCCTTTCTGCAACCGGACTGCCCGCTACATCATCCTGTAAAGGAAGCTTGCTATGGGACCTTGACTAGAGTAGCAGATCATCCCTCTTGTTCTGACATGTGGAAAAGAGGTGGAAACCATTTCCTGCTTTGGAACTCAGGTGCTCCACTAGCTTGGATGGTCTTTTCTTGTTCCACGACACTGCCCTGAGAGTCAGCCAAGCCAAGTCTAAGCCAATCACACTCAGTCTCCATCCTCAGCACTCCTTACTCATTAGGCCTCCTGTTTTAGGAGACACAGGCCAGAATCCTACCTATGACAGGTCTGTCCCTTTTGAAAGACAGGATCAGGCTTATACACCCACCAATGGTCTGGCCACAAGTCTCAGCCCTCCCTCCCTCACCACAGAGCTCATCTGCAATAACGACCTTTACACTCCCCTACTCAATCTGATCTTCAGGCCATGCCTGGTCCGTCCATCCTCTAACCTTTTCATATCTCTATCCCAACCTCTACCTCAGACTGCAGACCTTTATGTTTCACCTGCCATGTGACATACCATCTTGACAATTGAGAATACCATGTCCAAAATCCAAACAGATTCTCCCTGAACCTTCTCCATTATGCTGACTTCCACAACTGTATTCTTTCAAATGTTCAGGAAACAAAACAAAACACAAAAACTTTGGAATGGTTCTTGACACTCCCTTTTTTGTCAAGCATAGCTGCTAGCCCCAGCTTTCAGATCTATGCAGATAATCGCATCCTCTCTCTACTAACAACACTCTAGCCAGCCCTGCCATAATTCTCCTGGGTCTATTGCAGCGGCCTCCTCAACTGTCTCCCTGTGTCATTCCTATCCTCTTTTCCCACTTTAAATTTCTAATGCTAGGCATGCCCTCTCCTCCGCCCTCCCTTCACAAACTTCCATGGCTACCAGCTGCTCAGTTTGACATTCCAGCTGAGACTCACCAAACCCCCTTCCTCTTTCTGCACCAATTAGCCATTCACTGTTCCTCAACGCAGTCGAAGCCGTGGCACCGCGCGAGCCTTCGCATGTTCCTGTCGACGGGAACTTCCTCCCACACCTCGTCACACTGGTCGAAACGGGCCCCACACCAGAACCCCTGTGCACCGGACTCAGCGGCGGCCCTGCAGTGACCGGAGCGGGAGGGCCCGACGTCCGGTTTCTGCACTCGGAGCTGGGCCGGGCGCGGCCGGAACGAGCACCCACCTGAGTGAGCTCGCCGGAAGAGCGGGCCTGGGAGCGGCGGTGACAGGGTACGACAAGGACACGGCCGTTCCCAGCCCGTCAGCTGGGCCTCACGCCCAGCTCTGTGCAGCGGGGACCAACGCTCTTCTCGGGTTTTTCGGCGACGTCACCTCGGTGACGACCCAGCCCTCAAGAAGCCTAGGAGAGCAACCAAAATGGCCGCCGCCGAGGAACGCCGGAAGTCCGCCACGCCTGTCCATGCGCGTATGCGTCCCTTCGTAAGCTTTCATTGGCTCCGTCCCGCCTCCGCACACCGCAGGGTCTTCTGGGTTATGAAGTTTCCACTCTGCTTCCGGACGCGTCTTAGATCTTTGATATCTCCTTAAGAGGTGGATAAAGGCCCTGATAGACTTTGAGAAACTGGGGGCCAGGATTCCGAAGATGGGACCGGGCTTGGCTTGATCTTAAAGGACGTACCCTGATTTTCTTGGAGTGTAGTCTGGGATCTCACAGAAATGTGAGAGGGACCTGTTACTTCAGACTCAATGAAGCAGAGCAGATTCCCAAAAACTCACATGCAAAGGGACACACGATACCACAAAGGCACTCTGTGTCTAACATTCTTGTCAGCTATCTTGTCGCTTTTCAAACACATGAGGAGTTAAACTTCGGAGTCTGCTTAATAGACTTCAATATGTTTGGTCCAGGAGGAAAAAGACTATGGACGGGGCCATGGCTGGAAATTTGCAGGAAGGACAGGAGTTACTGAAGTAGGTTGAAAGAGTGAAACTGTGCCTCTGGTTGCAAGAGAAAATGTCTTTTCAGGCTGTTTAGTCAATGATTGTGTTCCTACCAAGACAGGAACACTTTTATTCAAATAATATTTATTACTCTATATCTAAGATATTTTCTACTTATTGTAACAATCTCAATCCTGTCTGAAAATGAGAGTGACTGATTACATGCCATCTGACATGACATTGTCCGCTATTTTCATAATTGGAGCACATGTTCTTACCCCCAAGAAAAGGTGTGAAATTCCATGATCTCATCTCCTTTCTGAGAAGTGATTTATTAATTCACCTGTATTTGCAAGAGTGTGTGCACAAGGAGTTGAAATTATCTGTTGAAAAACATTTGTGAAATTGAAATTTCTAAAATCTATTAATCTGTCTATTTCCTTTCTCTGTAAAATAAAATAATAAAATCTATTAATAATGATTGCATAGTTATTTTAAAAAGTGGCAGAAATTGCTCTGGAGAAACCTATCTGTGACTTTTTTTTTTTTTTTTTTTTTTTTTTGAGACAGAGTCTCGCTTTCTGCCATAGGCTAGCAGTGAGTGCCTGGGTCAGCCTAGCTCAGCGCAACCTCAAACTCCTGGGCTGCGAGTGATCTTCTGGCCGTCCCCAGCCCTCGCGAGTAGCTGGACTACAGGCATTGCGCCACCACATGCCCGGCTTATTTTTA